AAAAGCTCTGCCATATCCTCATTCAGTACCCACGATCAGTTCATGCTGTATCTCGCTATTGTCTCTCCGATAGCGAGTTCCGCCAATCCATCGCGCAATTTTCGCGGCTGCGCTCGCACCCTCAAGCGGACCAATCTGACATGTTATCCTAGTGGTATCCGCATCCATAGTCATGCGTGCACACAGGCTTTTACCAGCCGTCGGGCCGCCAGCCTTGCAGCGCGGCGGCACGGCGCTCGACGCAGCGGACGGCGCGCGTGCGCGGCAGCAGCGCCACGTCCGAGAGCCGCGCTGCCGGGTCGTGGGCTGTTGTGGCGCCGTTGGAGGTTTGGGAGGGGGTCCAGAGGGGGGCACTGCTTTGTTAGTTTTTCTGTTTTTCTGTTCTTCTATTTTTCTCTTCTCCCTCTTTCCTTCTCCCTCTTTTCTTCCAACCCAGTTGGTCATGCCATTTCGTGGGCCAGAGTGGACAGGGACGAGGAGAAGAGACAGACGAGAAACGAGGGCACCCACCTCTCCTCCAACATGTGGGCGCGCTCCTCCTCGGTGAGGAACCCCTCGAGATAGAGAACCAGCGGCTGGCGAGAGTAAATGTGCACGGCGTAGGCGTCCGGCGCGCAGTCGGGGGCGGGCGCGTCGGCGTCGTCGAGGGCGAGGTGGGATGCGTTGAGGAAGGGCCGCGGGGCGTAGGACGACGACGGCGGGGCCGGGGAGAGCCACTGCGTCAGCGGGCCGAGGGCGAAGAGCAGAAAGGCCACGAGGCCGACGAGGTAGGAGATCATTGTTTCCTGATAAAATGACCAGAAAGTAAAATGAGTGGCAGTCCGTGGGATGTGTGAGAACAGACGTGAGCGGACGCACGAGGGAGAAGCGCGGGATGGGTGTGGTTCGATTCAGGATTAGCTAAGTCCGGCTAATCCGGCATGCGAGCCCTCACGTTCGAGCCGGAACGAGTAGCCCCCATTCTCATGGTAGTGTCATGCGTCATGACAGTGTATTGTCACGACAATGTAGTCACGACAGTGTAGTCACGACAGTGTCATGTGAAATCGCCGCCATCACTGCGTCTTCTTGGCGCTCCCAGTCTGTCTGCTGTGCCCCGTCGCGAGGAACGCCCGCACAAGCACCCAGAGCACCCATCCGAAGCCCAGCACGACAGCCGCCGCCGTGCCGACACGCACCCACGGCGCATCATCCGCGTCGAGCACAGGCACCCTGACATGGCTCAGCAGCCGGTCGCCAGCGCGCGGTCTCGGCTCCACGTGCCAGAACACAGTCTTGGGCCCGAACAAGGCGTCGTACCCCAGGTTGGCCCGCTCAAAAGGCGTGCTCGGAAACTCGGCGCCTTCGCCGGCATCGCACGCCCAGAACACGGCCGGGTACGGCGCGCGAACGTCGGCGTGGCCCGCCGTGTTCGGCGCCAGGTAGCGCAGGTGCAGTGGCACCTCTGCCGTCCAGGCGGCGGCCCGTGCCGGCGGCGCGAGCTCGAGCAGGATGCTGGAGCCCCAGACTCGGGTGGCGTAGGCCGGGGCCTCGAGGTCGACGGGCGACGTCGCGTGGCGCAGCGCCGTGAGGTTCTTGGACGCCAGGAAGAGGTCGTCCGAGAGCTGGTAGCGGTCTGCAAAGATGGTCTTGGGCAGCGTCAAGTAGGCGTTGAGCGTGCAGCGGCCCTCCGCCTGGTCCGCGGGCGGCTGGGAGCCCGTCAGCGAGAGCTGCAGCGTCGGATGCAGGCCTGTCGGCGGGAGAAAGCCGCATGTGAAGCTGGCGTCGGACTGGCGGTGGCGCGTCGGAAAGGCGAACATGACGGGTGATGGACCCTTTCCCGTGTCGAGGACGGTCAGGGCGCCTGAAATGCCGAGCTCGTGCGCTTCGGCCTGTGCCGAGGGGTCGAGGCCGAGGATGCCTACCTCGGTGCGGTGGCCCGGCGTTGACGCGACAGAGAGTGGCTGGGACCCGTGAGGCCACTGTGCGGTCACTTTGAGGGACTCGGAGGTCGTGTCCCATGACATGTCGATGGCGGCAGCAGTGCTCAAGGTGCTGGCCCTTGATGTGCACGCAGCGTCCGACGGCGCGCAGTGCTGGGAAATAAAGTCGACAAAAGGAGAAATATCCTCTATCAACTCATAGTACTGAAGCTCAGGAGCTTGAGGGTGAGTGGCTGTGGACCACTTGACAAAGTTCTACGTCGGCGTCAGATACGATGATGATGATGAGGCCGTCACAATCGAACTCACGTCATTGTCCTGGCACAAGTCCACACTGTCTCCTCCGAAGATGCTCGTCTTGGCGGCGCATATCGCTTGCCTGGGGATCTTCTTAGCATGCTCCAAGACATGGCTGTGGCCAAGAAAACTCACCCATTCGCGCTCTGGCACTTGGCCGGCGTGTAGAAGATGTGCAAGCCGGGAGATACTCTGGAGAGGAGAGGGCTCACAGTCGTGTAGGCTGCCGAGCTGGCCCATCGGACATGCAAGGCTTTGGAGTCGCGGGCGAGCTCTTTGAAGGCGTCGGGGAGTTCATCGATGCCCCAGGTGAGTCTGTCCTCCCGCACAGCCTCGAGGTCAGGCCCCTTGATGCCATGCTGGCCGATGTCAAGGCTCTCGGGGTTGATGCCGCCGCCAGTCTTGTGGATGAACGTGACCCTCTGCTTCATGGCGTTGTCCTCGGATTTCTCGAGTCTTGGATTTCTCGAGTCAATCCTGCCGCTGGCTGTTGAGCTGCAGGGTGAGATGCTCGAGGTCAGGTATCGCTGAGTGAGGTTGATTGTTGGCAGATGGGTGGTGACAGTCCGAGGCCCCCAGTGGGCACGTCCCCTGAGGTCGCCTGTCGACGGTCACCAGCCCCCCTGGAATGACAGCCCGAGCCACGTGGCTGGTGTCGCGCTAAGCCCCATCAACGCTGTGCAGGGTATTTTGCTCGGAGGGGCATGCTTCCACGACGATATTCTTCAGCTGAGTTCCGTCCAGAACATGAGAATCGAACGTTGTGATACTGCATTTTGTTCTCAGACTGGCAATTATTGAAGCGTCAGTAGCTCCAAGGTATAAATACAAGTTGAAGTGTGCCTTGTCAAGTACAAGAAGCTCCATCGGTCTAACTCAAGAATTGAAGAGTTGATAGCGTTATTTGACTCAGAGCTCCGTGGATCGTCATGTACATTACAGAAAAGCACCTCATAAAATTTCCAATGCATACTTAGAACATACAAGTCATTCTTTCATCTCTCACCGCGTTTGTACGGCGATGTCCAAGGTGCTGTTGACCTGGGGTCTCTGAGTGTCATACCTAAGCCTAGATTGAACTTGGCTGTTACTCTTTAGTCAGGCTCGGTGTCCAGAAGTAGTAACAATATTGTACATGGAATCCGCAGGTAACCTCAGACAGAGACTACTGAGACAGGCTCCGCATCTCAATCGCTAAGAATTTTGTCATCATACGTATGTTTGTCAAGGCTTTCTCGCGACGAGGAAATGATAGTAACTGTTGGGCTCCTGGGGGTCTCTAAGCGAGTAGAACGATCGGTACCATTCCCTATTAACTACCATGGAATGGTGACTCTCCTTATATGGTAGTCCCTCGAGACGCTTGGTCATCCCTTCTGCTCCGTACCTCTTAGCCAGACAGCTGGTGTCACATAGCTGTCCCATTGTTGGTCAAGGGTTATGACAATGTTACACCGGCACGCTATGTTATGAGCAATACAAGAATATGAGGAAAGCTATACTAATAACAAAGATAGGATGTATGGCCCTCAAGTTCCTCCTTAGAGACTTCTTCAGAGGATCTCGAGCAGGGACACTGCGATACTGAAAGTCATTCTACGTAACAAAAGTTGTCTGGACATGCTTCGGAGGCTTGTTACATGGTAAGGCGGCCTCTATAGAGCCCAAGGCACGCTGTTGAGAGTAACAACAGGGAAGAAAACTCCCCTGCGAAGTAGAATGCTCTGAGGAAAAGGTCGTCACCCTTCACAATAATCAGATCAATGAGCCAGCACGGCAACATGCAGCGACTGGGACATTTACAACGCTCATCGTACCATGTCGTCAAGCATCCATCCTCACACAACTGGAATTGATTCAAGTCACAACTCATAAAGATGAAAACTGAAGCGGGAAATGAGCAGATTGAACATGAACATGATGTACTCACCATGTGTATGTCGGAATCATCGTCATAAATGGGTAGAAGACTTGAGCACACATCATCACACCATCACACGTGTCGCCCGTTCAGCGTTGCAAGGGACTCAGGCCCCGGGGCGTAGGAAGATATCTATCAAGTCTGGATTCAAGACCAGCGGTCTCCACGCTGTAGATTTGCCCTCCGGTGCAAGACAAACGATAGTTGTATCACAACTAGTCAATATTGAGACTACAAGGCTCTGAAATCTCTATCAGCGAGCGTGGTCAACATACTCACCGTAGCTACAACTTCATATTCTGAGCTACCATCCAAATCCATGGCGAGCTCTATCATCGTCAGCTTGGCTACCACCAGCTTGGTATGCCTCACATGGCAGGCGAAGCTCTTTGGCGCCACACTTCGTCTGACATCAAGCTCCTCGAAACATCAAACAACGACATACACAACCACGACCATCCCGAGTACCGCAATCAAGGCTTAGACGTGTCCATGCCGTCAAATCGCAGCATCTTCCGAATCAAGGCCTAGCCCCGGACGCAACTTCAAGCACAACGACATCAACATCAGACGGAAACAATGCGTTTGCTCTACGAAATGGCAGACATGTCGAGTCGAGTCCAAGGCAGGGACACCCATGGACGCAGAGCGCGAGGTAGCAAACGTCACGACTCGCCCCCCAATGGGACGAAGCGCGACGCCGGAAGACGGGAAACACGAGGTCTGCCATGCTCTATCCGATCTTTGACACAGGAGCACGCAACCACACCTCGGGACGGAAAGCCGGGTTCGGGTGTCATGCGGGAACGAGGAGGTATACACTGGGATATCCCTTCTGTGCTCGGCGAAACTCAGCTACAGAACAAAAAAAGGACACGGGCTGTGTTGTGTGCACCCCCTTTGCCTCGTGGGCTGTTCAGCAAGATCCAGCAACACACAGCCCTGCGTCTCTTTCTCGCTTTCTCGGCGTTGCTCCAGATAAGCCAGCACACGCCCCGTGCCCTGCCATCTGCCACCCACCGACGCGGCGCATCTGACGAAGCAGACTCGTCTGATCTGTCTAAAAGCGGACAAGGACAGCGAGCATCTGCTCGCAACTCGAGCAGAAACAGACATTGAGCTCCGTGACAACCTATATCATGCTTACTTTTCACACGGCCAAGAGACTCCTCTTTGGGGCATCTAACGTCTATACACGACATGCCCCTGAGACGAGCAAGAAGCAAAAAGGTGGCATCATGCCGTCCGTCTTCTCGGCTCCGAGCAGATGGACGGACGGACGGATGGACGGACATGTAGCCAGCATTGTGACCTGCAAGGTAGTCTGGCAGGTTGTCGTCCTGGGATCGATACATCCCTTCCTTGAAACAAGGCGTCCGCCAGGGGACTCTCCGTGTCGTCCGAGTGAGGGCCCTCCTCTTGGCGCCGCGAGCGGGGGCAGGCCGGAGTATCACAGGGCTTCCAGCAGAAGCAAGCAGCAGGATGTCTGGGGTAGGACCGGGCGCCCCCCTCGGCCCCGCAGTCATCTACGTTGCCACCGACGGCCACTGATGGCGCGGCTCCCGCGGGCACATAGAGATGGTTGCGAGACGTTGTCAATGTTGGTCTGGGATATGGATCATATGCATGGTGACGAGTCGATCTGGCGCTGTGGCGAATGCCTCTGACATGCGTGAGATCGGGCCTGCATATATCGGTTGGACTGACGGCCGAAGACGACTGGTCTGTTGTTCGGGGGTGTCATCGGGGGAGCAAGGATGAAATGCAACCCTTTCTCGGCCGGCCTGCCACTTAGGGACTGTTGCTCATCATCGCTGACATGTTGCTATTGACAGGTGTGGCGCTCTCGCCCCCGCCACAGGCCTCGAACGTGGACTCCGACATCCATAGTAGAGCGACTTGTCGCATGTCCTGGACGGAGCATGCTCCGTTGAGTTTTAGAACGAATGGCCGACAGGGGGCGAGCCAGCCCATCAGCCACCAGTTCCAGGCGCATGTGCACAATCTCAACGAGGCACAAGGCGGACGAACGACTGAGCTACAGAGTCGACACCAGTGAGCTCTTCTCCATGGTGTCTTCAAGATCATGATATCAGGTCGCCAAGAGGTAGCAAAAAGGAACATCAGAGACCGTGCCCTCGCAAGCAGCACCCGAATGAAGGCAATGCCCCATACCGTCCACTTCGGCACTTTGGTATCAGAAGCAGAAAGCCGGCAGGGTAAGGACAGGAGAAAAAGGGACGAGCGGCGGATATCAAAGCAAATACCATGTACTATGGCACATGTAAACAAACATGGCATACTCCTGGACCCTGACCTAGACATGGTCCAGGAAACAAGAGCGCGAAAGTACGGCACAGGAGGATTCCCCGCCGACGGTGCGCACTGACGATGGAGGCCATTGCAACTGCAAAACTGCAAAATCACACACACCAGGTGTCAAAGTGAGGCGCAGCAAGGCCGGCACAGCGCAGCTCACCTCGCTTTGCCGTCTTGCGTGTCAGTGGTTATACCATGTAGGCCCGGCCTGCCTGTCAAACTGCCAAGTTGGGCGGATCGGACCATTCTTGAGGATGCACATGCCTGTTCCGCAAGTTGTGCCGAGAGGACAAACCCATCCCACCACCCTCGTCTCCCTGAACTTTCCAGGACCAGGTATGGTGCCACATTGACAGCAGAGGAAGAGACGCGCTGCGCTGTAGGGGTCGACGGGCCTGAGGGGTTCCGGACAGGGCAGAGGGGCGCGAACAGGGGGGCACGCAGGACATGGCAGGCTGAGGTGGATGTTTGTCAAGGATTGAAGCGAAGCAGCAGGTCCACGTCGAAATGACAGAACATGTCAGTCCTACCCTTATTCCCCCTTGACGACCTGCCTGAAAATTTCTTGATCAATGACGTCGAGTGAATCAAAGGGCGATGTTTGAGTGAGATGGGATATGACAATGTGGCCCGAGCCGGACGGGGCAAACCAACGACGACCTACCCGGGCGCTCTTGTGACAAGGCTTGGGGCGGTGGGCTGGCAGGCCAAGCCAGGGCCTACTTCAGAACCTCGCGACACTCGACCGTCTGGGCATGTTGAAACGTCGTTGTGCTGCACTCGCCGCCCAGGTGGGAAACTGTCATCGCCCGTCATTCCTTCAGCTGACGGGACTAGCCTCAGTGCATGGCTGTCGGAACTTTGGCAAGACCGAGGCCCGGCGGATGGCTTGGTGTCTTCGCCTTCGACTTGGTCGCTTCACCTTGCCAGGGGCGCAAGGTGGTGGGTGGGCGGGTGGATGGGTGGATGTCGCTGAACTCGATGACGGCACCCCTGTCGGGAGGCAACCATGCCACTGTACATCGCGGCCTCTCCTTGTTCGTGGCTGTCAAAGTCTGACGTCCTGGGCGATGAATGTGGGCAGATATTCCCCCCGGGCGGCCCTGTCATCTCGTAGAAGATCGTCCTCCATATGGCATACATCCTTGCCCTTCGAGAGAGGTTGGCCCGAAGCTCAGTCACTCGACTGCG